CTTTCTAGAACCTTCTAGAATCTTTTAGATGTTTCTTGAGAGTAAAGCCGAGTTCACATAATAAAGCGGGTTTCATACCTAATTACTACTTTACGAACGATATCTATATATTTTAGGTATTATTCTTTAGAATATGTCGATTCCTTTTGCGATTTAAAATAAAATGCATTACTTCGTAAATTTTGTTATAGATTAAAATAATCTTATTTGCTTTAATTTATATTCATATTTGCATGTAAATGGTAGAAAAGCTTAATTGTAACTTCTATTGTTATTTTATAGTTAGAGTTTAATAATCATAATAGACAGGTAAAATTTATCAATTTACATTTACATTTTATAGTTATATGTAAATTGATAGATAACTTGCATCAGGAACGAATTTCTAATAGTAGGTATACTAGGGGGGTTCTAACTCAGGGGCAATGAGGGGGGGTGAGGGGCGGGCAGAAATCATGTTTTTTAACTTATGAGCGATTATATGCGAGACTAAATATTTGTTAATACCGGTCTTTCATGTAGGCTAGCGATTGTCATGACTAATATGTTAAAGAATTAAATTTGAAAAAGATTGAAATTTTGAAATTTGTCTGGACGTTACAGTCTCCATACACTACGTGAACGTAGAACGAGAAGGCCCCTCAATTTACATGTCCAAATCTTTCCCACGCGGATAATCGTGCGATCTCCTTCTCCAGACGTTTACTCGCCCATAAATAATCTTCCCCCTTATATCGATTATTCTCACCCGCAATTTCCGGATCCGCCATATTCTGAATCAAATACGAATCACAGTCTCTTATCCGATCCCGAATATTATATTCCGGATCCAAGCCGACATATCGCATCATCATACAACCCCTCTTTACAACCTCATAACGAACAAGACCTCAACATTTTCGACAAGGACACCGCTAACCTCACATTCAACGACACTCGCGATTTCATCCTCGAAGGAGCTCAGGACAACTTCGCTTCTTTCATTTGTCACGTCCGGCTTTATTACTATGTCCGGGTATGTAAATTTTTTTCCATCTATAAGGAATAAATCCTAAAACTATCAAACATCGTTTGAAAAGCTCGCCAAAGCCGGCCATGACGCTTAACTCCGCCTAGAAACTAAGCGTGGCGCTTCGTAGCGCCTAAGGATCTCCCACCACAGTGAGAGCCCCTACTCCGGAGAGTTCCCCCTCTCCAGGCCGCCGCAGGCCCGAGCCGCCGAAACGAAGGACCTCAGAGCAGTCCCGAATTTCGGCAGTTCTCTGCGCGACACCGAACAGTACAGTCGCACTCCTAAATTCTAACTCTAATTCTAAAATTCTAACTCTAAGTATAATATCCTAACTCTAAAATCTAAATTCTAAGTTTAAGTCTAAATTCTAATTCTAAGTTTTAGTCTCGAATTCTGTACTACTATACGAATAAATCAGTGTATTCATGTGTAAAAACTAGTGTTCAGTACTCTTCAAAACTTCCACTCCCGTGATAAAATACGGTAGCGTTTAAATCTGTCATACGGCGTTTGAATTCAGAACAATTCAAAACTGTGTCTGAAGCGGACCACCGCTCATTACAGTTAGAATTAACATTCTCAGCATTTGCCAAAATAAGGAATTGATAGTGAGGTCCGCCGCATATCAACCCTCCTTATTTGAGTAATCATTCAGAGGATGCATCAAATTCAATATGCCTAAGACGCGACGCGCGGGAAGGAAGAATCAATTACGAAAACTAAACCGACTTTATCGTGAATCAGCGACCGAGGAATATTCTCAATTCCTCGGAGTGGAGTATCAGGCCGATTCTGAATACGAGGACATTTTCAACATTAAAAATAATAACAACGACGAACTCCTACCGTGGAAGTGCATACCAATAACGTTCCAACCACGACGCCTGCCGCCGCCAAACATCCCAGTGAACGACCCTTTTTTTTTTTTGTGACGCTGGGGAAACCGTCATGGTACCGCGCATCCTCGGGTAGGGGTGCAGGTTATGTGGGACTCCTTGTTCCCCTTGATCGAGCCACGAATGGTTCGACCAGGGGGCCCAAGACCTACCTCACTAAAACCCCAGCGGGTGTTTTTCCCGGGCGTTGGATAGGGGACGGCGAGGATGCTGGATCTCATGCCGTCTCGCCGTCCCCTCGCCAAGCCGTCTCCGGGGAGCTGCCTCGACCTTGCGGCCGAGACCCCCCCCGACCGCACAGTCAATGACTGCGCGGTTCCCTCGCGGTTGCGGGGCGAACACCTGCCCCACGCCGCGCTCTCCCAAAGAGTTTGGGGGGCGGGGCCATGGCTCGAGAGCTCCCGCTCGAGCCATCGCCCCCCGCCCCCCCAGTAATCGCGACCCCCGGATCCCCTAAAGGGTGATCCGGATCGGCGTTCCACTGGGGGAGCCCTCATCAAGGGGTACCTCTCAGAAGGAGAGGAACCCCCTTCCGTGGACGGTGTTGCCCTCCCCCCGGTGCCATATGGGTCCCGGTGAGAGGCCCCTACGCGTCACGTCTCCGTCCTTGAGGGGGACTCAGGCGCCCCCGGCGGAAGGGCGATGCCCACCCGCCAGCGACACGTGGCCCCCTCTCGACCCCCCGGCTGCGGTTTTCTCCGCTCCCTTGGGAGTTGGGATTCGACCGCAGCCGAGGGGTTGCCCTTTCGGGGGCGCGACCGCGCCAACCCCGCCTAAGCGAGGCGGCGCGCCCGCGTTCCGATTCTCGAGAGGTCATCGGGGGGGGGGCCGGGACCTAGATGTTCCCAGCCCCCCCCCCCGGTGTTCTCATCCCGCATCGAAGACTGCGGGAGAGTATGGGATGGACCCCCCCGATCCCCACCACCACTAGTGAGCAAGCTCACCGGCGGCGGGAAAAAGAGGGCCCCCCCTGTCCTCCGTGCTGCTGCTTCCTTCTTCCCTCCTTCTTTTCCTGAGGGCGTATCCCCCCGGCCCCACCCCCGTCAGCGGGCAAGCCCACCGACGGCGGGGGGGAGGAGGGGGCACGCCCTCTTCATCCTCCTCCGTGTCTCCTCTTCTTCTCCTCACACCGGGGGCGCGCCCCCCCCCGATCCCCGGCACCACGAACGGCCAGAGCCGCCGATGCCATAACTTTGCTGCAGAAGGAGGAGAACGCCCTCCAAGCATCTTCATTATCTGTCATTGCCCTCACTACTGAGGGCAATGACAGATCCCTCCCCACTGCGGCCACGAGCCCCTCTCTCTCACCCGCCCAGGCAACACACTCTTCGAGTGTGTGCTGGGCGGTGTCACGCTCGTGGCCGCAGTGATAGCACCGCGTTGTGCGCTCCTTCCCTATTCTGTGCAGGTACTCACCGAAGCAACCATGTCCGGTGAGTACCTGCGTCGTGTGGAAGAACACCCCTCCTTTGACCTTGTCTAACCAGTTCTCTAGACAGGGTCGTATAGCCCCGACGGTGCGCTGTCCTGGCAGCCTCGGATCTTCGAGGCTGTTCCTCCATTTCTGGATCAGCGCCCGTCGGGAGTGGACCCTTACTGCACGCCGGACTCCGTCTGTTACTATGATGCCCGCCCGCTGGTATTCGCGTGTACGCGTGTATACATCTGTGTACATGCGGTCGAGCATCTCCACAGGGGCACTCCGGAGAGTACCCCCACGGCTACCCAGCTCACTGTACGGTAGCCCCGGCATATTCTATTGGCCACCCGCTTTTGTAGCTGCCTCAAGGCATCTCTTGGGCCGCGGGTGGCCTCCAGGCATTTTACCCATACCGGTGCCCCGTACAGGAGCATGGCATGGACGGTTCCGGCGTACAGCTTTCGGACACTTCCGCCGGGTCCCCCAAGGTTGGGCAGCAGGCGCTGCAGCGCCATCGCTGTCTTTTCTACACTGGGGGAAATACGGCGGAAGTGTTCCCGAAAGGCCCACTTACTGTCGAGGTGGAGGCCCAGGTACTTCAGGCAGGCCCCCACCTCTATCGAGGTGTCCTCCACGCAGATGTGGGTTTTTGGTGGCGCCCCACGAGAGCCATCGTGCAAAAAGATGGACTCGGTTTTTTGAGGCGCCACTTTGAGCCCCATCCGCTTCACGAGCCGCACAACGCGGTGCACTGCAATGTTCGCCCGAGCGGTCGCATCTTCCCACGAGTCGCCCCCGGCCATCACCAGTGTGTCGTCAGCATAACACACCGTGTGACAGCCCGGGGGGAGGGTTTGCCGAAGGACAGCGTCGTATGCGAGGTTCCACAGCAGGGGGCCAAGTACCGACCTCTGCGGAACCCCGCACGTCATCTGACGCTTCTGTTCTTCGGCGTTCCTATCGGTATAGGTCAATCGCCTGTCCCGGAAATAGTCCGCCAGGATCGACACCAGATATGGGAAGACCCGGTGATACTCCAGGGCCGCCCCAATCCGGTGCCATGGCAGGGTGTTGAATGCATTCGAGATGTCCAAGGACACAGCAAGCAACACCCCGCCCTCCTCCGTTACGGCTTCCGAAATCGAACGGACCCGAAGAATCGCATCTATCGTGGACCGTCCGACCCGAAAGCCGTATTGCTCCTGGCTCAGGTTTGGACCTTCCCGGGACAAATGATAGACAAGGCGATCGGCTATGATCCTTTCTAGGATCTTGCCCGCCTCGTCTATTAGGCAGATTGGCCTATACGCCAAGGGTACATCCCTCGGCTTACCCTCCTTTGGAAGGAGGACTATATTTGCCTCCTTCCATTCTCGTGGGAAGGAGCCCACTCGTTGTACATCCTCCGCATGGGCTCTGCGAGACCCCGATAGGCGAGAGCCCAGATTCTCCCGTGAACGCCATCAGGACCGGGAGCTTTCCCAGATTTTATCTTTTTGATGGCGTTCCGGAGCTCTCCCTCCGTGACCCCCATGGCCTCGGAATCCCCGCTCCGGAATCGGGTCATCTTGACCTTCTTCCCGCGGGAACAGGGTGTCGACGACTTGGCCGATAAATTGGGGATCCAAGGACTCCGTGTTTGGGGCGCCCCCGCTTCTCAACTTCTTGAGAACTATGCGGTAGGGGCGCCCCATGGGTCCTCGTCCAGGGAGGAGAGCAATTCGTCCCAGGCTCTCGCCTTTGCCCTCCGTATCAGGACGCGTAGGTCATCCCTCTTTTCCTTGTAATTGTCCCACGCGTCCTGATACCCCTCGGGGTCTAACCGCTCGAGCTTTTTCCTCCTATAAACTTTCCTTCTTGCGTGGTCGGAGGCTTGTCTTGCTTCGGCGATTTCTTCCGACCACCAGTATGTCTTTCGGGGGGACCTTCTCTTTATTCTGGGCATGGCCGCGTCGCAAGCATTGATTATTGTCTTGTGCAGCCATGCCCTTTCTCCTTCCTGGTCCCCCCTACTTTCCTCTCCTCTAACCATCAGGGCCGCCTCGACTGCGGCCAGAAACGCGTCTTGGTCTAGCTTCCTGAGGGCCCATCTTTGAGAGACAGCCTCCCTGTTTCGGCGGCGCTCGATCACCTCGCGGGGGAAGGCACCGACGGAGAATTCCACATATCTGTGGTCAGATATGGTTTCGATCTCCGCCAGTACCCTCCACCCGCTTACCAGCCTCGAAGCAGAGGGAGTGACCCATGTCAGGTCGACGATCGACTCCCCCTGCCTCCTAACGCATGTGGCCATTTTTCCCCTGTTACAGGGGAGAAGGCCACACCGCGCCGCCCAGTCTAATGTCTGACCACCCCGCCAATCATCCCGCGGGGAACCCCAAACGCTCGATTTGGCGTTGAAGTCCCTCGCGATGACTACCGGGGCGGGGTGGTACTCTTTCAGCTGTCCCTCAATGGCGGGTCCCTCAATGAAGTCTCTTCGGCGGGAGATACACGCCAATAACGATGATGGACCCCCATCTGACCGTGCTCATACCCTTCCCCGACTTTAATGGTTCCATCGGGGGAGAGTTTGACGCGCCTCTGTGGGCGATCGCGGCCAAGCCGTCACTGCTACTTGCCCAGTTGTTGTCTGGGATATGGTGCGGCTCGGCCACGATCCCCAAGCCGCAGTCCCTCTCCATCAGATTCTGAACGAAGAGGTCCTGGGCCGGCACTGAATGGTTAACATTGCCTTAGAGCACTTTACACGTCATCTTCTTCCGTGTATGTTCCCTCAGGTCCCTCCGCCTCCATGGCGGCGGGATCTTTGTCCATAATATTTATTTTCAGACGCTTTCTTTTGGCGTCGCCTTCTGCTGGGAGCATTTCCCCTCTTGTTTTAGGAGCCCTTTGCTCTTTGGGTTCCTCAACATCCATAAGGTTTCCAGAGAGGGGGGCTTCCTTCTCCTGTTGATTTTTCTTCTTTTTTGCCTGTTTGGCAGATGCTTTGGTTGTAGGCAGGGGGGGTTTGTCGCCTTATTTAGGGGGACCCCCCTTTTCCCCTTGTGTACTGGCGTGCACACTTTGCTGCCTCCTCTGTGATTTGCAGGCAGCCCTTTATCTGTGCACACCGGGCATTTAACTGCCGCTGTGCAGCTTTTAGCTGCATGTCCCTCTTCGTCGCAACGGTAACATTTACCGCTGCGGTCGATGTTATTGGGGCACCGTGCGCGCACATGTCCCCCCTCCAAGCACTTGAAGCATTGGAGAGGTCTTGCCTCCAATAACTCCACGCGCACGAGTGCCCACCCTATCTTAATTTGGGCCGTTCGCATTATTATGTTCGCTGCCCTGAGGGGGCAGCGGACCCATACGATACTCTTTCCCCCTGGGGTCTTACGTATCTCCCCCAGGTGGATTTTTTCCTCCTCGCAGTTGCCTGCATTTGCCACTGCGTTTATGATCTCAGGGGGCTGTATGGATTCGTCCAGCCCCCTGAGTCTTATTTCCGCCATTTTTACGGGGCGTTGCACGCTGACGCCCTCGCATCCCTTGAGAGCTTCTCTCATCGCGAGAGCAAATCTGTCTGCCCTTTCTTGACAGTTCGCCCCCGGGATTTCAAAAATATACGAGCCCGTAGCTCCTCTTTTAATCTTGGCTCCTTCCAGGAGCCCTTGGGCCTTAACTTTTTGTCGTGCTTCCCAGAGATGCTTCTCGTAAGTTCCCGGGGGGCACGTGATCGTGACCGCGGCTGTTCGCGGTTCTCTCCTCCTGGTGTTTGGTTTCTTGGTGGGCGGGGTGTTTTGCATCTGTTTCTTGGCATTGGCCTTCTTGAGGTTGGTCTCCTCTCTTGCTTCTGTCTCTGCCGCTTTGATGCTTGCCCTTTTGACTTTCCTGGACAGTACTTCTGCCCATGTGGTACTGTCCTTTCCTGCTTCCTTTCCTCGTTCTTGAAGCTGGGGATTTCCCCCCTTCTGCTTTTGTGCCTTTGGTGGCACCTTCTCTTTCCTCTCCTTTATTGAGAGTTGGGATTTCTCCTCTCTTGCTCCTGATGCTTTGGAGCAAGGAATTCTTTCCGTCGCTTTCCTGGCGGGTGGATTCAGCGTGGTAGCGGGTTTTTTATCCGCACCACGCAGGATCCTAACTTCTTTTATTCTCAGCTTGTTTTTAGCAGTTAGGTCCTTCTCCCCGGCCGTAGCTTTTTTAGTTGTCATTATTGGTGACGGTTTTTCTGTCGTCTGCTGCCGCTGTTTCTGCTGCTGTTGTGGCCGTTGCTGCTGCGGGGGTAACTTTGCTTGCGGCATCTTCATCTTTTCTGCCCTTTTGGTTTCCGCGTAAGTGGGGACCGGGCAGCCTAGCCTTTCGTCCAATAGACGGACTACGATGCCTTCAAACATGGCGATCATAGCCATCTGTTTCTCTCGTTCCTTCCTTTCCTCATTACTATTATCTTGCGGAATGGTAAATTCCATTCCGCCTCTAGCAATGTGGATCATCTCTGTCGGAGTATGTTCCCTCCTCTCTTTAGCTGAGGGGGGAGGACCTGCTTTTGGGAATGCCAGGAATTCCTCCACGCTCTTCATTTCCTCGTCCTCCCATTCCTTCATTGCCCTTCTCTTGACCCCGGAGGTGCTCGGGATCCCCCCACCTTGTAGTGGAAGTGGGATTCCGCGCATCTCCGTGCTTTCCATTGAGGAGGTCTCCCCGCCGAAAGGCGGAAGCGAGATTTCCCCGGTCTCTTCCCGGGTCGACGGGATCCCCCCATCTTTGGGTGGTAGTGGGTTTCCTTCGACCCATCTTCTTGTCCTCATTCCGGCGTTTTCCTCCTCTGTGCTTAGCGGTTCTTTCTCATTCCCCTTGTTCCCTGTCGGATGGAGCGTTTCTCTCCTTTTCCTTTTCTTCAGCAGCTCTATCTCCCGTTTGAGTTGCTGATTTTCCAGCCTTAGTAGTTGCATCTGGTATTGCATTTCTTCCGTTTGCTTTTCCACCGATGCCCCTGTTAGGATCTGAGCCCTCACTGCCAATGTTGTGGCTGCTGCGCACATGTCAGCAGCCGCCTCCTTCACCTGCCTTACAAAGGTGCCCTTCAAAATTCCCGATTGGGTAGCTACCTTGTATAAGTCCATGGTTCTTTCCGCTGTCAACGCTTCCACGTCTCTAACTGGAGCGTTTTGAAATTCCTCATTCTTGTCCTCGATCATTCCCTCAAATTCCTTGTACGATTTTCCCCGTGTAGGCTGGAATAGGGGATCTAGGATTTCTTTTTCGCGACGCGCTTCTTGTTCTTCTTTCTCCTTTTTTTGCAGGAGTTTGCGATACGCCCCAGTTGTTTCCTTGTGGCCTCGCTTTCTCTTTGTGGGCGGTGAGGGTAGAGTTTCTTCTCCCTCTGTCGTTTCTGCTTGCTTCTGTTCCTGTGGAGTTTTTTCAGGAAGAGCAGGGAATCCGTCTTTTAGGAGGTCCACTGTGACTGTAGACTCTCCTTGTACATCTTCAATTGAGCTGATTTCGCTCACGGTGTCTATTTCGGTATCCGCTTCGTAATCAGTTCCCGTCATTTCCTTCATTCCCCTTCTTTTAGAGAGATTTTCCGCCCTTTCTCTCACTCGGGCTATTTCTCTTGTTATGCGCCTCAGTGCAGGAGAGTTCTTCTTATTTTCTTTGTTGGATTCTCTCGAGAAATCCGAGGAAATGCTGTCTCCGTCTACTCTGCATAATTGGATTCTTGCTTCCTTATGCAGTTCGCCTGTCCATAGATGTTCCTTAGCTCCCATACAGCACAGATTATTGCAATTATATTGCAGCAACGTTGCAATGTTGCAAGTTGCAATGCAACATTATAAAGACATTGCAGAGATATAAGTGCACAAAATTCCAGCACACTTGTAGCAACATGACATTAATATTTCGGAAATATTGCATGTAATCCAAATTCTATAATTTATATATTGTAATATATATAAATGAACTACAACGTATTTTCATTAATGATTTATTTACATTTATATACCTGTATATGCAACATTAGTTTATGGTTGCAATAACAAGCATTATTGCAAACTCATAACATATTGCAATATTGTTGTAATATTTTGTTGCAATTTTCCAAAAAGCGGACATTTTAACATTGCTGCAATTCAACAGCAATGATGTAGCAACATTTTGCAGTGAATTTGCAATATTGCAATATTGCGGTGAAAGATTGTTGTAATGTTTTTGCAATCTATCGGTGCTGTATGGGCTACCTCTGTTGAGGTGCAGGGATCTTTAGCTACCTCTGTTGAGGTGCAGGGATCCTTAGCTACCCCTGTTGAGGTGCAGGGATCCTTTCTCTCTCTCAGGACCATATGCCCTGCGCGCGTCTCCGCTCCATCCTTGTTTGTTGGTTGTGTTGTCTCTTGAATATTCATCTCTGTATTATCCCACTTTCCCGTCACGGCTCCTGTCCCCCAGGGTATACCCCCACCGACCAAGGGGTGCCCCAAAACATGACCGGCCACACCCCAAGGCCGGGCCCCGAGTTCCCCGGAGAGGGGACGTACGTCATTGGCCGGGGGGATACCGCACCCCGGCCTGACCCCGAGCTCCTTACACACCCGTGTGGGATTTGACGCTCACACGGGCTTTCAGGGGTCTCGCGCCTCCGACAACGCGGGCATCGTGACGGGCGGCGCCACCCGGGGGGCCCCACGGACGCTTTGGACAGGGTCGCCGCTCCCCGGCCCTGCCCTACACGCCGTGGCGACCAGTATATGTGAACGCCCCTCGTCGAAGGCTTTCGACGAGGGGCAAGCGCCTCTCCGTTCGGTCGGTTCGGAAGGGGAAACGGTCCCGACCGACCGGGGATAACCTCTATCGCCGCCGGGCCCCGCCTTCTGAGGCCGTTTCTGAACGTCCGAGCGGCCCCGGCGGCAGGCGGCCGCAGCACCCTCCGGGCTATGCCCCTTGGATAACCCCTCCGGGCTATGCCCTTTGGGTAACCGCGACTCGCCTTCACCGTCACCCTCGGCCCGGATTCGGAAACGTCCGAGCGGCCCGAGGATGGCAAGCCGCAGGGACGCTGGGACGAGAGCACGCTCTCCGACCAGCACCCTGCGACTTCCCTCTCGCCGTCGAGCCCCGCCTCGGAATATGTCCGAGCGGCCTCGACGGTCGACCCGCATGGTCCCCTCCGGGCAGTGCCCCTTGAGTAAACCCTCCGGGCTATGCCCCTCGGGTGACCACGCGTGGCCGTCTACGCCGACTCAGCCCCGCCTCGGAAACGTCCGAGCGGCCCGGGTGCGGCCTACCCCAGGGACGCTGGGACGGGGACCC